GTTTGTGCTTTTGTAACTCCAAAAACAGCAAACAAAAAATCTATCACCTTACATGCTTTTAATTGGAATCGACAAAAATATAAAATAGCATTTCATATTACAATTCCGCATATAATTTATCAATAAGATAAGAATAGCAAAACTGAGTTTTATAACACATAAATGTCATTTCTTTAAGAAAGAAAGAAAAAACATTCGAATATACGAACAAATTTGTTTTCTCAATTTTTTGTTTTGGTAACCCATGGTAGATATTATCGGCCAAAACCTAGACTAATTAGTAAATTCCTGACTGAGAAAAAGATGTTCCGTAAGAGATGAGAAAACTTAAGGGAGTCCTATTTTCTTCACATTCATAATTGGAACACTTATTTCTATGGCTCGTTATTAGTATGGTTCATTATATATGACTGCTTTTCATTTGTTGGAGTTTTGTGTGTTTATAGCTAAACTTTATCCATGGCACACAATTATATTTTCTAAAACTTTTAAATTTTTATACCTCCATTATTATAGTTCTAGTGAAAAACATTAAAAAAAAAAAAACCCAAAACAAATCAATAATACCAATAAGATCGGGGTTAGATTTAGGAATTCGAAATTGTTTTTTCTTGTGCTGCAAACTAACGAAGAAAGACCACTTTAATAAAGCAGACGTTCACAGATATAATTATTTATTGCTTCTTAGATTTTAAATGGTTTCAAAATTACATAGAGAAGCCACCAGCACGAGACAAGGGATTGTATGTTCCAAATGTTCCAGATCGAACAACAACTTCACACGCGCTAGATCGTCTTGGCAATCACATAATCCTTTTCCTTTATCTGATCTAAACAGAGAGTAAATTTCTTGAGGACTGTTGACTTCTCCAAAAAGTAACTCCCTATTTTCTCCATATCCGCCAAGTATCTTGCTTTTACTTGAACAAACTCAAGCGATGATAAGACACACTGAGGCACAACAAAAAAGTTTATTCCATAGTGATGATCTTGATACTCCTGAACAAAGTAGAGGAAAAACAAAACAAGACAAATTTAGCTAGCATGTGTGCCAATTTCAGAATCTATAACTTTAGTTGTAGTTGGTTAATTAATAAAGAGATATACTAACCATGACAAGAGATTTTAGATTCGGACACCGTTCTAGAAACATTAACAAGTATTCCCAGGTTCCCACCTTCATGTCCTTCGTCATGTCCTTGACACTCAAGTTAGAAAGATTATGAAATTGGAATAGTGATGATTCCGATTTCAAGAACCTACGATTGACCTATATACAAACAAAGAATACATGTTACAAACTTTTCATATAAAAAAAAAACAAAATTTAGATAGATAAGTTTACCTGAAGAATATCAGAAGAGATAGTTAAATCTTTGACACGTGAGATCAGGGTAAGGAAATGAGGATAGCTTTCGTCGAACTTAATCAAACCATCAAGATTCAACTTAACAATGGAGCTCGAATCATTGACAATGATTTTTTCAATAAAGTGACGGTTCAGCTTTAGATACTTGAGCCTTGGTGTTTGCATTACAACTTGTGTTATCTGATTTAGACCTTCATATTTGTTAAGACAGAAGCTCAATAGAGATCGAGACGAGACAGAGTGAGATCAGCATCTCCATAGCAAGCTTGTCAAAAACCGCCATTCGCCTTAGATCCATGATCTTAAGACAAGGCAGAGAAACCGAGTCAGGCGGTTTAGGCAAGCTTGCGCCATAGAGTTTCAAAGAGACCAATCTCTCACATGATGTATAAATGGTTGGAGGTATCTCAACTCCCTTGTACATGGAGTTATAATTACCCACAATATCTAGATGCTGGATATTCGGCTTAATCAAAGTGTCTATAGACTTCTCAACTCTAGAATCGTAGTGGTCTGCGACATACTCTAGCTTAACTCTTTGTACGCACAAGCCACTGTTCAAATCTATAAACCTGTTGACAAAATCGTGTCTAGCAGAATCTCCATAGCCATGAAACTCCAAATCCAATCCAGGCACAGATTGCCAAAGATCTCTCCATCTGCGGCATAAAACGCTAGTCTTGATCACATCTTTCGTGGGAAGATTGAAAAGTATCTCACAAAGTAAAGAGTCTGGTAATTGGTTAATCATATCTTCTTCTAATTCTCTCATGGGAAGACGTTTTTTCTCTAACTTCATCTATAGATGCTTGCTTCCTAAAATAAGAACAGAAGAGTATATCTAATAAACAAAAGATATCTTCAAGTCGTATGTACGTTTTTACTCAAAGCTGGAAAAGGAAAAAATCTGGAACTCCAACAATATCAGGAAAGAGTGTTGAACAAGGAATTGCAACCAAAGCAGAAATTTTATATCGCGAAAAAGGAAAGAATTTGTTTTTTTCTTATTTATATATCTGATAACATCCTAGAAAACAAAAGAAAAAAGGAAATTCCTAGTTCGACTTCGAACCTAGAAAACCTGAGCCCATGCCTATAAAGAATTGATCAACTATTAAAGAAAAAAAAATGGTTACTCTGTTCAATAACAATAAAATAAATTCAAAATTTAGAAAGTAACACATTGTCTGTCACTGCTCATGATTTTATTCAATCAAAATTGTAAGAAGCAGTATCAACAACATTGTATATGATTGAGGAGAACACAATTTAAACCTGAGTTTTTTTTTGTGCTTTTACTGAGACACTCCTAAGGAGCTCCTGTAATGATCTCAGATATACAGAACACAAAAGTGGTCTGAAATGTCTCAAAGAAGTTAACTAATGGCCGGAAAACAAACCTTGATTTATCTGTAGATCATTGGATATAAATCCGGGGGTTGATCAGAGGCATCTTCGTGCGAGCTTCTTGATCCATGATCCATGCTTACTCCATGACAACTTGACAGCTCGTAGAACTTCTTGGAATCGATTTGATTTCGTTGATGATGTTACAGAAACTCGGACTTAGTGTTAGTTTCTTGAGAGCAGCACCATTCTCTAGAAAGTACTTTGCTAATATCATCTTACTTGCTGTTCCTGTGAGTGGTCTCCCTTCCTTTTGCATGTGTACAACGTATAGTGTCTTCAGGTGAACAAACTCAAGGGATGATAGGAAACATTGTGGCACAGATGAAAGGTCAATTTGCGGTATCTCTGGAAGGCAATCAAATTCCTGATGTAATATATAACCGAGCATAAGTTCAAGTTTTCGTTATTAAAAATCTTTATTGCAATTACATGGGAACATGATCAGGAAATGAAACTCACCAGGACTACAGAGTGAAGATTTGGGCAGCTCTCAAGGAAAGTTGGCAACAATTCCCACGAAGTGTCTTGGAAGTTAGCGTGCAACCGAGACAAGTTAGAGAATTGAGGTAGCTGTTCCATTTTGCAGTAATCCTGAATAACCTGTGCAGCGAGAAACAAAATAAAACTTGGGTTCACTGAGAAATGTGATAAAGAAGCTGCTTGAGCTTAATGTTATTGAATCAACCCATTTACCTCTAGAGTGTCAGCAGCGATGGTCATGTCGCTGACTGCAGATAACCCGGCAAGAAATTTACCGATCATGGCTATCTTGGAAGAATCACCTGGCTCTAATGGCTCACCATATTCCACATTAAAGAGAACATCAATGTCCACCTTTGCAGAGGGGCCAATACTGTGAATTACGAAGCTATCAGATCGGTGATCGCTGAGAGTCATACACTCAAGTCTTGGAGCATCGATTGCAACAACATGATCATCGCTTTCGTAACGCTCACACTCTAATTTGAAGCTTTTAAGTGACTTGGAACGCACACACACAGCTTCTAGACAATCATTGGGATCACGGGTTATCGTTAACTCTTCGAGAACAGAACAGTTGGATATTAGAGTCTCTAGAGTCGAATCAGCATCATACTTGACCATATCTAAATGCATAATCTTGACACAAGGCAACGAAACAGATTCGGGACGATCCAAGACTACGCGGTAGAGATTTAAGCTCACCAATCTCTCACATGAATAGAGAGATAGAGGCATCTTAACTAAC